CTCTCTCTCTCTCTCTCTCTCTCTCTCTCTCTCTCTCTCTCTCTCTCTCTCTCTCTGTGTGTGTGTATGTGTGTGTGTGTGTGTGTGTGCCGCCGCCCGCCTGCTTCCGACCCTCCCGTCCATTCCACTGCCCCTCCCTCTCACCTCTCCCCTCATCCATCTCCGGTCACTTTCACAGTCCACACTCCGCCGCCACCCCACAGTCCACACTCCGATGCACGCCACCGTTGCGCCACACCCCACGCACTGCACTCCGCACAGAGCCGCCGTAGATCCCTGCGAAAGAACGCTCGGATAACGTCGTCTGCCCCCCCCCACCCCGCACGACGGCCAAAAAAAAAAATCCGCCCGCCCTTGCCCGATGCCCACACAGACCCGGATCCGCCCACCGCGAAACGCCGCCACCAATTTCCCTTGCGCCACGAAACGCCGCCACTGATTTTCCTTGCCCCAGTCCCGCCCGCCTCCACACCGAATTTTGTTGGGCCCGACGGGAAGCGTCACGCTGGGCCCTTTGCATTCTTTAAGAGTATAGGGAAGTTTCGACAACATTGCTTGTAGCGACGCGGCGAAAAACCCCGAATTTTTTGCCTTCCATTAACCACTAGTGGTGCACTACAGTCCGGCGCGGCCCCGCACGTCAACCCCGCATACCCGACACCAGCTCATCAGATCGCCCAACTCTCGCACTCACTTACCTTCCAAACTTGCCCGTTAGCCGATACTCACTGATCGCGCTAACCTCAAAATTCTTAGAGAGAAAACTAATCGCGCTTGCAAAATTTATAGCATGCATGCCTGCGCGAAAGGTACGGGATTAAGCCCAGGTGGACAAGAGGAGAAGAGAGGAAGTGCCTACGTCTGCATGGCCAGGCCGTGGCGTTGGGGTCGTAGCCTCGCTCCACGCATCGATCCGGTCATGCAGGCACTCAGACCAATTAGAACGGAGCATCAGGCATGCAAGACAAAGAAGAAGAAGGCGGGCAAATACGAGGAAATCAAGATACAGTTACAATCGCGCCCGCCAAAAGTGACAGTTGCACAAGATTAAGGGCGCAATCCACTCAGAGCCCAGTTCCCTGCGCAGCAAGATGCGCGCAAGCGTCGCGCAACAAAATTCGGAGTACCTAAATTCCTAGTCTAAGTCCTAATTGCAAAAGAAAATTCCAAACAGGCAAAAGAAAAACAATCCCGAGAGCCTGTGGGGGCTCGACATCAGTTGAAAATTCAAAAACGATATTCTCGGGCGATGATCGCGCCAAAATTCCCAGTGCTCACAACAGAAAAAAAAAGAAAAGCTATGGTACAATTATTTCTCGCGCTCTCCAAGGCGCGGCTACCCAACCGTTGACACGGGATTTTCCCGACACCGATCCGACAACTTCCAGCAAAAACAAAAAGAAACGACGGCATCCATGCAACTAGCCCGCCCGACCCATCTTCCCACAACTCACCCCTTCGACCCGTCGTATTCCCCCAAGCAGCTTCCCGCAGAAAGTCGCGCAATTTCAGAAAGTGGTTCGTCACATGACCACGAACTCATAATGGCCATAACGAGTTATGAGGTCGTCGTAATATTGATCTTTGGACTTTACCTCTATCTAATGGTACCCCGATTTCAAATCAATCTTTGATAAATACTTACACCCTTGCACCCTATCCAATAGATCGTCTACCTTAGGCAGCACATTCTTGATAGTGATAGCATTTAGACCCCTATAGTCAATACACATCTTCAGTTTGCCTTCTTTCTTAGGCACGAATAGGACCGGTGCGCCATAAGGCGACGAGCTTGGCTTTATCCACCCCTTCCAACTCCTTGGGAGACACCTAATAAATAGGGTCCTTTAGGGGTTTTGCTGTCGGGCTCAATCTCTATTTGGTGCTTGGTCTCCCTCTCTACCACTCCGGTTGGGGCCTCTCCAACATCAGCAAACTCTTCCAGCACGGGCTATACTTGGGGCAGTGTTTCTTCTTCCTCCCTTTTACTCTCACTCACTAGCCTAGCGTAGGCTATAAAGACTTGGTCAGCGATTTGCTCTTTCACCATGTGTCTGGCGAACGCAGGGGCATTCATACAGCACAGAGATAGGGCAGACTGCACTCCGGACTCGTGAAACAGCCGGGCCTTTTTCTTCCCACCTGTGGGACTCCCCAACCAGCACTCATGCTTGCCCATCTTCACATCGGCCTTCACAGCCTCTCCCCAATTTGTCCCTAGCAATAAGTAAAAGGGTAGGTTGTCCTCCACTAAAAGGGCCAGGGAAAGCAACACCACCTCTATCTTATCCCCTCCCTCCAACCGGAAGTATGCCCTAATCCCTTTCGTGTACTCATCCACTCTCATTTTCTGATTATCTTCCAGTGTGCTCACTACTGGCTGTTCCAAATTAGCACCTTCATGTCAAGATGCAACTTCTTCAGACCCTTCCTACTAATGTAACTACGGGTCAATCCGCTTTCTACGATTACGCTGACTCGATTTGTGTAGTTCTTGGACCATTTCTCGATTTATGTGTGTCATCCTTGTGCAGGGGCTATGCTAATATTCTATGTACCGTTCCAGTTTTAACGAATGTCCCCAAGGACTCTGTTCATACATTCTGAATAGATTTAGTCCCTTTTTCAGCTCAGTAACCTCAGCTTGATTTGGTGGCACAAATTTAGGTGGTACTGCACAGGAGGAGTTGATCCAGTGACATTCAGAGTCGATGAGACGATGTGCAACCATCCATGCAATGAGGCTTAAATGCAAGGTGTGACTGTTTGGCAAGGAGGAGGGTCTCTTACCCACCCATGATCCCGTTCATCGGTGTGCGAAGCTCATGTGACATGGTACCCATGAAAGTGTCCTTCGCCTTGTTGGCCGCTTCAAGTGTTGAGTTGGCTTTCTCAATGCGCTCTTTTCGCTGCTTGATGACATCCAGTTGCTTCCGTGCGGCATCCAATTGGCTGTTCAGGAGCACGAAAATGCTGACACAGAGAATACCACCACCAACCACAGATGACCAGATGATGGCCTCCCTAGGGACCTTTTCCTCAGCTGCATATCGGCACCGCAACTCATGGCGACGGAAATCATTCAAAACAAATTCTCCCTTATAATCGTACTTCTCAACCTTAGTTGCTTCACTTCCGTTAGTTTCCTGAGACTCGTAGTCAAAAGGCTTGTACACCATCATATGGTTTCCAGGGTCAGTAATGTCATAGACTCCCACAATAATCTGACCATCCCTGTTAACGACGGAAAAATATTGGTCAATCATTCTTGACAATCTCATGCGGGCAGAAAGAATACCATACGGCTTCGTAGAGTTTGAAGACTCAGAAACTGAATCTTCAGTCTTGTGTACAGGGTAGTTGATCAACACCTGACGATCATCGCTTGAACTGAGGTCAAAAGGGCTTGACATGGCCTCTGTGCCATTTTGGTACGCTAGCCTGTAGATCTCTGCCACCTGTTTAACTGCAGTTTGTAAGTGAGTGCCAAAGGAGACGAGATAAATAAACTCTTAGCAAGTTAGCATGCTCATATTCTTGTCCATGCACCGCACCAACCCATTCATGAATTCATTGAACAGACTGACCTCCTTCAGTACCATCACTGGCAGCAATTCAGCAAGGAAGCAGCACCCATGCATCATGTGCTCAACTGGCCAAGCACCTTTATCGAACAAGTTACCGATAACGAAAACAGGCAAAGTAAAAGCAGCAAGCAGCAAAGTGGTTGGGCGGGCAGGCAGGTGGGCAGGCTGGCATGTGCACAGGTGGTTAGGTAGGCAAGTGGGCAGGAAGGTTGGCGACCAGGTGGGCAAGGGGCCTGCCAAGCAAATAGACGAGAAGATGCATGGACATATACATCAAGCGATAGATGGTCAGACAGAGTTTGAAGTTCTAATCAGCATTAGCTCCTCTGTTCGTGCCCATTCATGATGCAACACTCAACTTTGGGACAATGCCATTCATTACAACTCGAGAAGAGACCTGGACAGAAGAAGAATGAAGGAAAGAAGACGAAGAAGAACACAAGGTTGAAGCAATGTCACCTCCATCCTCCTCCAGCCATCATCATCTCCCTCACATAATCACCACCTCCTCTTTGTTAACAATTTAATACAAGAATGAACAAGAATCAATGTCCAAATGATCCCCTTTACTACCAGTGAGGTTTCACCGTTGTCATCCTGGTCCCACTCTCAGTTCCAGTACCAAGCCCAGTGCCAGTCCTGGTAGTATGTGCCATATTCCTGAGTCCCAGGTAACAGAGTGTCAGTATGTAAGCCGACATAGGAAGATTTCAGTAGGTACCAGTAGGCTTACGAAAGTCTGTAGAAGTCACTAGGCCTCTTTGTTGCCCAGTCCAACCAGGCAGCAAAAGCCCAGGAAAGTGTGCAAACTTCCGGAAGCAACAAACAAAGGCAGAGAATAACCGGCCCATAACCAGTAGAGGAAGTCCAGAAAACGAATTGCCGGGAACAACATCAATACATATTCACTTGTGTGACGAGGCGGAAGCGCTGGTGCACTATTTTGGGATACTCTGGTGTGCACTGCAGTGGGACGTAATCGACAGTGCTGGGCGCCACTGGCCATAGCTAGGTTGAGGGAGAGCGAGAGTGTGTGACGTCGAGAGGTATTCAGGGATGGCATGAGGCCGAGAGAGAGAGAGAGAGAGAGAGGAATAAATAAAGAAGGCGAGCAACAGGCGCAGTGAAACACTTCATCGAAATTCCTACCGCAGATTTCATACATACATCAGCTCAAAATTGCACGCACTTCCCTAATGCGTTTTGCCGCCGACATGCCCGGCCAGCTCTTCAGGGGGAGTGAGTGACTTACTATTCAGGGATGGCATGAGAGAGAGAGAGAGAGAGAGAGAGAGAGAGAGAGAGAGAGAGAGAGAGAGAGAGAGTCAGACAGACAGACAGACAGACAAAGGAATAAATAAAGAAGGCGAGCAGCAGGCACAGTGAAACACTCCATCGAAATTCCAACCGCAGATTCCATACATATGCAATGAACCCAGTCAGCGGAAAGCGCAACAGTGTTGAAGTACACAATGTCTCAGCGCAGTTTCAATGTCTCCAAAATCATATATGTAATCAAGAGTCCAATGTCACGTAACCAGAGAAGAGAGTGATGAGAGGGAGATTAGACTGAGAGGGTGGAAGAGAAAGTACACATCATCTCAGCAGATAGATCTCCCTCACAGGGGATCTTCAAGAAGTTGACCGGTTTTCGCGTTCGCGCCGGTCGGTTAGCGCAGCGCTACGCCAGACCCGTGCCCCTACCCGGGGCCACCAGGAACTCGACGCCGAAGCTGTCCGCGGGATCCTCCATCGCGATCTCTCACCGGACAGCCATAGCCAAGCGAGCTTAGACGAACGTCACAACGTGCGCGCACCTCGAGCGCGCGCTCAGGGTTCATCGCTACTCTCTCAAGAGGCATCGCGAGCGTGACCGAACAACTATAGCCAAGTGTGGCTAGACGAGCATCACCACACACGCGCGCCTTGGGCGCGCGCTCAGAAGTTGTCGCCTCCCTCCCAAGACACCAACGGCATTACGAGCGAGGATGAAGATGGCTGAGAAAGACTCACCTGAGCTCTGACTACGGATTACAGCATACCTTGGAGAATTCGGACATCTGCGGCCAGCGAGGACTCCCAATCACACACAATCAGTGAGACCAACCAATCAAYCTCACTCCCCCGTACCCTCTTCGAGGCTATCCCCCCCTACTAACCTACAATYCTCAACACCAAGCTGAACYTCCACCGCTCTTCCCCRAACTCGTTCAAGTCTCCAACCTCATTTCGCTCTCAACTAAAYGCTCCAATCTCCCTCCCCCATCAACCTCCCTATCACCCCCCAACCTCCATTTCTCTCCCAACACCACCACAGCTCAGCTCCCCATTATAATCCAATCTCGCGACCTATCTCGCCTCCAATCTCACCTCGACTCCATCCCGACCCCGAACCCGACCCCCTCCCTCCCCCACATCGACCGCGACCTCACCCTCATTCCCCCCCATCCCGACCCCAATTTCATCTCCACTCAGACCCCGCTCCCATCTCCTTCCCAACACTAACCACAGTTCATCCCCACTTCGACACGGTCCACTCTCGTACTCCGACCCTGACTCCTTCCTCACGCCAACACCACTCCGTTCTTACCCCCCTCCCGATCCCGAATCCCTTACCACCCCGATTCTGACCGCATACACCCCATTCCCGCTCTCGCTCTTATTCTGAACCCGATCTTGTCTCCACCCCAATCTTGATCCCTTCCCTCATTCCAACTACGATCCACCCCCGCCTCGATCCCACCACAACCCACTCACGATCCCATCCTCAAACCGTTTCAGCTCCTATCACCCATCCTGTTCTCGACTTCACCCCCGATCCAATCACGATCCTCTCCCCGTCTCTTATCCCCACTCCGAACCCGAATTCATCCCCACCCCGATCCTGACCTTATCAACCCCAATCYCGCTCTCACTCCCAATCTCGATYCCATCCCGAACCAGACCCCTTCCCCCATTTTACTCTCAGTCTCATTCCCAACCCGACAACGATCCTTTCCCCACCCCGACTCTGRATTCATCCCCGCYCCGCTCCCAACCCCGACATCAATCCTACTCCGACCCCATCCTAATMCCGATCACTACCCACTTACCCGGCCTAAGYCCTTAGCGCCATCAAACATACATCACCTACACCCCCCACTCCCTTGGCGCCCCACTACATTTCTCCACCCTCCCCTTTTACCACAAACCTCCTCCCCCTTCCAGTGACAGCTCCACTCACAACCTCTCCCYCTSCCTTCCTTCATTGACAGCTCCATTCACAACCTCTCCTCCTCCCTTCCTCCCTCATCGTAACATCAGCATTTCAATAATAACTTCTCCCCACTACACCTCTCCACCCCCCCTCCATACCACAATCTTTCTCCCCCTTCCATTGACAGCCCCATTCACAACCTCCCCCCCTCCCCTTCCTCCCAACCTTACTTTGATCCCGACACTATCCCCGCTTTCGATCCCGTCTCCAGATTGATCTCGATCCTAACGCCTTCTGGATTCCGATCTCGAATCCCGATCTGCGTTGCATCCGATCTGATCTGTCTCCCACCTGATCCCACTTCTCCTCCGATCCTGATCGGTATCGTAACCCACCCGCTTCCATTCCATCCCCGATTCCGACCCGCCTCCATCGCAACTCACCTTCATTCCCAACCACCCACAACTCTCCCCGGCCTGATCTCAATCCGATCCCTTCTCTCCAACAATCACAAACCCTCTCGACCAAAACTCGATCCTTACCCCTCTGATCACTCACCCGATCCCAGTCCACCTCAACTTCCAAGAGCCTATTTTTCTTCCCCCACTACTTAAGCCGAGCCCCCAGAAGGGGGGCAAACTCGCTTCTACTCTCTATCTCCCCCCCAGTCCACCCAACGCAGCCAAGCGACCACCAATCGCACCCCCGCTGGATAAGCCGATCCCCAAGTCGGGAGGCGAATTGCTGTCAAATTTTCCATAGAACCACACCTCACAACCATCCACCCTGCGCCCCCCCACTGGTCATCTGATTATCAGCCTTACCCCTTTGATTCACTGTTCCTTAACGCTTCACTTTCTGTACACCAATCAACACCCCCCCACCTGCTTCAGCCCTCATTACACCCACCGCCCGACTACTATCTCTTACCTACCAGCATCTTCATCACTCCTGACACGCCCATTCGGACTCAACCCCACTAACCCTCCGTCAAACTTCTCGCTCACCTACTTACCCGCCCTCTCACCCCCCCCACCATCACTCGTGTCAGCCGGAACAACCTAATTGATAGTCAATAGGCGGAACTGGGGATACCTACGGAATCAACGCAGAAGAACAGAATCCAATAAAGATGGACAGTCCGAAGTCGCCCGGATCACTCACTGACCAGGAATCATCAGATAAAAGAGTCAATGTGATTGATAACGAAGCATTAAAATTCCTGATAGAAAAGACGAAAGTCCAAGGCATCGAAACTACAGAGAAACAGTTGATTGACGGGAAGGAAGAGGAAGTGGTGATATGGAGATACCCCGAAGAAAAAATTGCGGAACTTGACGACCTCCATGAAAAACACGGAGTGGTATTCAACTTCGCACGCCATGGAGCAGATCTCCAACCCGCTGAGAAGAGAAAATGGGTAATTGAAACAATCAGGAAAGAACCGAGATTCAAACAGATAGGGGAAACCTTCTCACTGCAGAATCTGGGTCGGAATAACATTATGGTACTCTTCGTGAATGAGGAACATGCAAAGATTGTTGCTGAAATGCAATCAAGGAATTGTCACGGTTCAGTCTGCACAATAACGAGATGGAAGAAACTCTCAACTCAAAGGCAAACCCCGGGGTTCGCAGTTTCTTACAAACAGACTTTGCTGAAAGAAAATTACTGGGTACAGTTCGATAATATCCATCCGGGATTCCACGSTCTGCTGGTCGATAGACTWGAAAGACAGTACACAACAAACAAAATCCTGAAATGGATCTTACCCACACCAGAGTTTCTRGCACCTYACTGTGGTTCCATGACARCGATCTTGGATGTGCAAACAGATGACCCCCCAGTTTTCCCTCTGGTCTGGAACTTCCAGATTGAAAACAGGGTAATTGAGGTAAGGATATCAACGAGAACCTCGCCAATCTGCTTTYGCTGCAGAGAGCGAGGCCACCTGGGTGCAGAMCCCAACTGTCCCAAATATCCCAAACAAGCAAAGGAAAGAAAGCTTCTACCCAACATGCTGGTTGAGGTGGAAGATGCACCGGGAATTTGGTACGTGGCAGACTCATTCTATRWTGGATGGGTTTTTGACGACAACCTTGATGARYCGGACTGGGWCTGGCACTTCGCAGACCAAACCCCATGCTCCAAAAAGCCAGACATTTTCCCCCCTGCGGACAGCAGGTGGCAAAAGAAGGCAWCRKGGAAAGTGAAAGGTAACCCAGCGAAGTTTACCACCGTGCCCATTACCGACTCAAGGGTGATCAGGGAAGAGAAGGCAAGAGAGGACCTACTGTGGGATTTGGACACAATAAGAGAGCAGATTGAACAGGAATTCAGCAAAGAACCCATTTCGTTCAGAGAAGCATTGAAACAAGCTGAAATACAAACATACAAAAGAAGGGACAAAGCACAGGCTGACAACAAACGTCAACTTCAGGAAGGGGGCAAACCTGCAGAAAAAGAATCGGGACTGAAGAGAAGAAGAGCTGACGAACCAACAGAGGCAAAGGGAGCTGGGTCGGGAGGGGATGGAATGGGCCTTGACTCTACAGGTAACCAGGCGGACGATGAAGCAGAGAAGGAGAATGCCAAACCAGAGACTGGTTCCTCAGAGGAGGAGGACCGTTCCACGCGGTCCTTATCCTGGCTCAGGCAGTATGTGGAAAAAGCAAAAAGGGAAAGGGAACATGCATTTGATGTGAGGGTAGCATGCCAGAACATGCCGAGAGATCTCAGGTGAATGGCAAAAAGGATGCTACCGCAGGAAACAGCAACTCTTCGAATCAATTCGCAATCCTTCAAAAAGCCAAAGTGGAGGAATTTTCAGAATATGCAGCATTCAGATATGCAGAAAAGAAGAGGGCAAGAGATCAAGGCACAAAAGACAAAGACAAGACCATTCCCACAACCAAGGATAACTTCCAGGACCTGCGTCCCAAGGCAAGAAAAACAGGCAAAAATCAGAAAAGAAAGGACGCCAGCAACAATCAAATGGAGGTGGAAGAGAAATCTGAGCGGGACCTGTTGGAAAAAGAAGTTGCAGTGGTGCTGTCTCAAACTGAAAAGTTGAAGAAGTGGAACAGAGAATATGCACCAGAATTCACAACCATCTCACAGATTGCAAATGGCAAAGCCCCAATGGTGGTGGAATCGGCTAAAGCAGCCCGAAGGACGCTGAGAAACATCAAACCACTGATCGCAGCCAGATACGAGCCAAATGCGAAGGAGTGGCAAATCGCAACTGACATAGCGTTCCATATTCCCCATTTTGTGGAAGGGGAGAACGTGGTCAAGTCGCTCAAAAGACAGGTGTCTCTAGAAACCCCATTGGGACTGTTTGAGACGATTGCGATTCAGACAAACCGGGACGAGTCCTGCTCCCAAGAGGGCGAAGGAAGCACTCACAATGGAAAGGGAGATTCAAGCAGGAACTCCCCAAGAGCCTTCTCCCCCTTGATAGCCAAGATGCCAGATTCTACGCAGCTAGGATCAGGGATGCTATGGAGACCCTGGCGAACAGTGACTGAAGTCCCATACAGCATCCTCGCAGGTGTTGGAGTGTCGGCAGAATTGATGGCCTCAGCGCTGGCATACATCGTAGAAACAGGCCAGCTAGAAGGAAACGAAGACCTGGACGCGAGAGCTTATGCTGTGGACAGTGAAAGATTCTATAAGAGTGATGCTTCAGATGGCGAGTCATGGGACGGGGATGATGAAAGAGAAAAGTTGGATCAGCTGAAAGATCTGGACAAAGTCGAGAATGGCCAAATGGAGTCTGAGGGGACAGAAGGAACAGACTCAGAGAAGGTGGTTTCGGTGGGAGTTTCTGACACCCTGCCCAGGGAGGTCAATGGACAGATCACCATCCCAATAGACAGAGTGGAGGATACGACGAAGGATAACCTAAGCCCTCTGTAAACCAGGTAACTCCCTAATCCACCCTAACAGTATCCATGGAGAACTATAGGAGAAGAGCGAATGAGACGGGAAACCAAATTAATTGGAGAAACCAAGGTCTTACTCTTAGGAGCTGGAATGTCAATGGTCTAGGGAACATAATGGAAAGAGAGGAAAAATGGAACGACCTATGGTCAGGACTGTCACTGAAAAACAAAAAGGCAGCGGACAGAGTGATGCTCCAGGAAACTCATCTCACTCTTTCAGCGGACCATAACAGAATTCGCTCCTTTATCGCCAGAAAGCTTGGTGGTCTGAGGGATGAAATATGGGCGGCTGATCCTGACTCCAGCACCAAGGGAACAACCATAACAGAGGATTCGTGAAAACCAAAGAAAACAAAATCTCTGGTTTGCACGAAATATTAGCATAATTCAAGAAAAGTCTTTTTTCGAGGGCGTTCGGTACACTGTCATTCGGCGTGAAGGAGAAGGTACCAGAAACACAAAAAACAAACACGATTAGCAAAAGTGGGATCCGGGGCTTGTAGTTTCGTAACAAAATAGCAAAAAATAACAGTCATCCGTTACACCTAAACCAGAGCAAACCGGAAAGGCACGAGTTTTCGTCATCTTTTCTGTCTCGTTTCACAAACAAATTCTATCAAGCTGAAATCAAGCTGTTTTACGGAGCTTAGTTTTTAACAAATCCAAGGTTTACGAAAAGGTGCAAAATTTATCCCCTAAAGAATCATTAGAACACCACGAGATAGAAAAACGTGGATAAAAGTCTTCAAAGTCGAAACATGTTTACTGTTCCTCGATTGCTCGTATGGGAGTGCTAAGATATGTAGTTGTTTCTGAGAGTCGAGAATCGGACTTTGTGCACATCACACTACTAGCATGGAACTTTCGTACAAGTGTTTTATTTTGTCAATCATTGCTTCAAAAATTGATATTTCTTGTCTTAAAGGTTATAGCCCTATACTGATGATTTATTCTCATTAAATCATACAGTTCAAAAATAAATTCGTAAACTACTATAATTAATTTTAACCTCTTTTGTTTAAGTAGTTATAGCCCTATAACACTGTTATCCATGTGGGAGGTTTTTGTGCCAATGAATTAATCAAACGATGAGAACACAAAAAATACAAAAAGTCCTGAAAGTCGGAAATAAAACGAGGTGCACATCAGACTAATCATATGTTACTTTAATGTGATGTGTTTTTCTTTTCAACATATGTTATTTATGAATTAAATATTATCTGTATTAGACATTAATGCCCTACAGTGTTCCCCCGAATAGAGCGTACGGTCATTGTGGCTGTATTTGGGGTGTCTTTCAGTCTAAATACAACTCTAATGATTATGCGTTGTATTCGGGGGAAGACTGTAGTAACATGCTCACATTTCATTAGTATCGAAGGTCGCAGGCCTAGTTGGTCTCAGTCCCAAAGGTAACGTCGCAGGCGAGTCAGACCAGAAGTCCAAAAGGTAGGCCCGAAAGGCCACAGCAGCAGGGGTCACGTCTGTTCAACTTCTACTGTGGCCTTTCGGACCTGCCTTTTGGACTTCTGGTCTGACTCGCCTCCGATGTTTACAAATTTAAAATTTATAAATTACTGAATTGGAATAAATAAAAATAGATAAATCAAATCAAAAAACATATGTAATACATAAAATTAGAATTACATGAACGTGATAAAATTTAAAATTATATAAAGGTATATATCTATGTAAAGATATAAATGTAAAGATATATATATAT